GTCACCTCAAAAAGAGTTTCTGTCTGTGTTTCTCTGTGTTGGATCTGTTCTTTAAACTTTGTTATTGTTATTTTGAGAGATAACCTGAAACATCCAGGAAGGTTTAATTCTTGCTCTGGAGAATGTGTGATATATGTGGGCCTTATTGAAAATGTTTCAGATCTAATAGTGACATTCATAGCTCCAGTGTCCACCATCATATGTCTGTATCTCAGAGTGTTTATGGTGGTTCTGTCTCAGGTTCGGGCCATGCGCTCTCACATCACAGCTGCCTCACAGCAGCATTCAGGGAAAATAATCATTAAGAAATCTGAGCTGAAGGCAGCCGGGACTCTAGGGGTTGTTGTTGTTACTTTCCTGTCATGTATTCTCCCATATTACAGTGCCATTATTACAGATCAGAGTGCCTCCATCCTGACCTTTGTGATATGTTTGTTCTATATGAATTCCTTATTCAATCCCCTGATTTATGCTCTTTTCTATCCCTGGTTTAGAAGGTCTGTTAAATGTATCGTTACATTTAAAATATTAAAACATGGCTCCTGTCATGCCAATGTACACATGTAATCTGTAAGTGGAAATATGAAAAGACTGAAGCCTTGTTTGGTTGAGATATGTGTCAAATAACTTCAATATTACTATAATGTAATTTGCTAAATTTAGTGGTGAACAGCTTAGAGTTTTTTCCAGCAGCCACCTGCCACCCCTTTGTCCCCATCACCACTAACAACAATCTTGAGCCTATCAAGTTGCAAATATGAGAAAGTATTCTGTTTTTAAGCCAGATTTCTGCTGTAGCATAAAGACCATTGGCCACAAATTGTATGCTTATTTTAGAGCGATCACACATTTCCAAGAATCACTGCTCAAACTGTTTAAGTTGTTGAAATCATTGACCAATCTACAATCTGTTCCCTTCAACAAGAGCTAATTCTGCTAATCAAAGGTTAGGATTGGTGTGAAGCCACCACTGCCTGCTCATATTCTGTGCCTCATTATTCTAAAGGCGTTTTAGGATTTTCGGATTAAACATATTTGAACATTATTTTGTCTTCTCTAAAACACATTTAATTTATAACTGACGCTGGCGCAGACATAAATTCCCAGCAGCAGGAGGCAAAGTCTCAGACTGGGAAGCTCCATTCCACCCTTTCCTCACAACCTGAGCAGGAATGATGTTGTCTGTGTGACCATTTCTCTATTCAATTGAATTCAATTTTATTCATATAGTGCCACATCACAACAACAGTTGTCTCACAGCGCTTTCGAAACAGAGCAGGTCAGACTCTACTCTGAAGTTAATTACAGAAACCCAACAATTCCCACCATGAGCAAGCACTAGGCGACACAGGCAAGGAAAAACTTCCTTTTAACAGGCAGAAACCTCGAGCAGAACCACGGCGTGGCTCTAGTGTTTACCGGGCAAGTAGTATTTCTAATGTCCTCCAAGTTTCTACATTTTGGTGATAAACACCCGGGATGATGTGGGGTATTTGTAGAAATATCTGAGGGTAGTTCAATGATAGAGGATGTGAGTGTGTGTGGTCATGTGTCTCTATGTTCCTCGGTGATGGACTCATGATCCGTCCAAGGTGTACGCGCCTCTTTGCCATTGTGGGCTGGGATAGGCTCCAGTTAGCCCATGCAACCATACAAGAAGTAAGCGGTATGGAAGATGGACGGATTTGATGTTTTGCTTTCATAACTTAGCACATTGCACACAGAACTGGAAGACTTGAGGCCTCGTCATGGGCGGCTGTTACATGCCTGCAGGCTGTTTCTCTTTCCCCTCCCCCTGTCTCTTCACAGGTACTAGGGAAAGCTGGTGTCAATCTCCCTTGGTTGATCCTCATCAACCATGGGCCAATCAGCATCCAGGGAGGCCTTATTTAAGCAGCCCAGCTGGGGAGAGAGGGGGTCGAACTGGCGTTGTTACATGACGCATGTCTTGTTGAATTTTGTGTGGAGGTTGTGGTGGGAGTTAGAGGGTGAGGTAAGTTTGGGGTACCCTGTACATTTCCTCACGTAGGTGTCTTCCCTGTTAGATACACTACGTAAGTAGGAGGGGTGCCACCCATGTAAAGTTTTGGTGGAAACTTTGGTTAGATTAGATAAGCAGGGTTTTTGTTTTCTTTTGTTTCTTTAGCACAGACGGTAGTTAGGCCCTGTTTTGTTTTGTTATTTTCTTTGATTTGGCACCACCTAACCGCCCCTTTCTCCCCCACAGTTTGTGTGCGCCTCCTGAGATCTTCGTTATCAATAAATCCCTCTTTTTTTCAACATTCACCTGGACTCTGTCAAATTGTTGTGGCTGTCGTGTTACTCTCCTCCTCGCAAAAAGGGGGGGGGGCCGTAACAGCGGCTAACAAAACTAATCTAGTCAAAAAAGCCAAGCATGTAATGGATTGTGTTTTTAGTGGGCTGGTAGGCTCTGCTTCTATTTCAGATTCTCGACCAGAGGGCGTCGGGAGGTGGCACCCAGGAGGAGACGGGTTTTCCTGATCAGTCTCATCAGGAGTGCCTTGAAGGGAGCTGGCTCTCTGTCACTCCTCGCCGGATCGTTAGTTTCCATATGGGCAACTTCTCGAGATTCCTTGAAAGAAGACAACCTTCCAGAGACATTCCCGAAAACAACATCCTTGTGTTTCCCTGTGATTCACCGCTTCTGGGGGTGGAACGGTTCACAAAATCCACGGTTCGGTTCGATTCACGGTTTTCGGTTCGGCACGGTATATGTTGATTGTTAGGAAAATCTATTATGTCTTGTATAGTCAGCTTAAAACTGAAATAAAAAAGCAGTCTGACATTTGATACATCATTGTGACGGTCTTAGGTTAAAAGTAGGTGAGATTCTGGCACTGCAAGAGAGGAGACAGTGCTAGTTCCAACATGTGTACTTGTTTCTTACTGGTGGTTGGCTTTGGGCGCAGTAGTGCCCCCTTCTGCTCTGGAGTGAACATGCTTCCCTATGAGAAAAAGGAGCAGCGCATGAACCGAACGCAACACACGCCAATCGAACCGAGACAGTTGAACCGGACGGTTTTCATAAACAGAGATTCCAAATCTCAAAGCCATATTCCTTCCCGAGGCTGCCGTAAACCCGGACTCACTTCCTAGACAGGCCTTGTCACAATAAACAACTCCATAAAGAATTTCTGATTCCTGAGTTTCTCTGTATGTGGACAAACAACATTGGCAAAGCCATGATAAAGCAGTGCTTCATTTCCTGAGGGGGCTGAGAGGGAACGGGCTACAGGCCGACCTTCTGGTCTCATTCTGCCAAGCCACAACGGAAAGCGTTCTGGTGCTCGCCATCCCTCTGAGGTCTGCTGGCTGCACGGTGGCCCAAAGACTACATCAGGTCACCAGAAAAGGACAGACAAAGTGATCAGCGGTCCATTTCCCTTGCCAGGTGTTTTACCAGAGCAATCATAAAAGATCCCCTTCATCCCAACCGTCACGTGTTGACCATGCTGCCCTCAGGAAAAAGGTTCAGAACAGCTTCTTCCCCTGGGAAGTGAGAACTCTGAATGCAAAAGACCATTGAAACTGCACAGGTTCCATCTCAGTTAGCCAGGAAAGTGTCTCCAACATATCCTGTGATGTCCTTCCCAAGTGAGGAGTAAAAATGTCCATGGCAATATATCAAGAGGGATGGATCTTTGTCTCCATGAAACACACAATGTTACAGCAGCAAACTACTCTATAAAACACTGAGATGTTCAGGGAACGCTGTCAGTGATGATCAGCTCCCCATGATGGATGGAGCTCAACTCTGCTTTCCAGAACTCCTGAACAGCTCCTGCAGGAAGATAACATATCCTCCCTCAACAACCGTCCTCATCTTCATCAGTCTGTCCTCCTTGTCTCTGTTCACTGTGACTCTGAACCTGCTGGTCATCATCTCCATCTCACACTTCAGGTAAATCCTAATTTAAGCAAGTTGTAAATGGATTCTTGTCTGATCAAATGGTTTGTTGTTTTTAATTTTACAGTTACAATCACTACTTTACT